GGGACGCCCCCCCGCCCCCTTCCACCAACCGGAACTTCCGCCACCCGAAAAACACCAGCTGCGGCAGACCTGGTTTAGTGACCCTGGCCAAATTCAAGGGCTCCAGGGCCGTACCACTGACCGGGTCCCCTTACCCGGGGTCCTCCGGGCGTCCTCCGGGGGAGGCCGCGCGCCGCCTTGCGAGGCACCCGGAAAGCTGCCGAGGCCCACCCCTAGTAGACAAAAAATAGATACTGGTAGTGTCTATCTTTGGTGCGCGCCTGCTATGGCGAAGCCGCAACGCATCTGAGTCGGAGCGCGCGAAACGCGAGTCTATTTTTATGTTGTGTTGATCTGCAATTCGTGTGACCAAATGAAAATAATCACGTGCAAAATAGATACTGTTACCAAAAATATATACGGAATCAGCTTTTTATGAAAAATAGACAATCATAGACACGTTTCTTATTTAAAAAAAGATACGCATTGCAATTTCCTTGGGTTGAAGATAGAAACTCATCAAAACGAATAGAAACTTGTTCAACAAATAGATACTGATAGATTTGGCGCGCGCCGAATCCTTGGCCGAGCCCAAAAATAGACACTCCAAACTCCGCTGAAACGTCAGAGGTTAAAAGATTGGGTGGTTCCCTAGGGATTCCTATGGATTCCTTAAGGATTCTTAGGGATTCCTTAGGGATTCACTCGGGATCCCGAAGTATTCCTGAAGGCTTGCTAAAGATTTCCTAGGGATTCCTGGGGATTCCCTATAGGGGTTCCTAAAAAGATTTCCCTTTGGATTCCTAAGGATTCCCTATAGGCTTGCAAAAGGATTCCCTAGGGATTCCTCAGGATTCCTGGCGGATTCTTAAAGATTCCTTACGGAATCCTAAGGATTTCCAAAGGATTCCAAGGGATTCCAATGGATTCCTTATGGGGTCCTAAGAACTGCCAAGGGATTCCATCGGATTCACTCGGGATTGCTCCGGATGTCCTAAGATCTCCCAGCGCTTCCTGGGGATTTTTTAGCATTCCCTAGGGATTCCTCAGGATTCCCAGAAAGGATTCCTCAGGATTCCTGAAGGATTCTCACAGGATTTCCTAGGATACCCGAAAGATTCCCTACGGGATTCCCTAAGGGTGCCCGAAAGATTCCCTAAGGATTCCCTAGGGATCCCGAAGGATTCCCAAAAAGGATTCCTAGGGATTCCCTGCGATTCCTTCAAGATCCCCTAGGGCTTCCGCAGGATTCCTCTGGGATTCCGGAGGATTCCCTAACGATTCCTAAGGGATGTGCGTGTGTGTGTGTGTGAGTGTGTGTGTGTGTGTGCGTGTATGTGTGTGTATGTGTGTGTGCGTGTTTGTCTGTCTGTCTGTCTGTCTGTCTGTCTGCCTGCCTGCCTGTCTGTCTGTCTGTCTGTCTCTCTCTGTCTGTCTGTCTGTCTGTCTGTCTGTCTGTCTGTCTGTCTGTGCGTGCGTGCGTGCGTGCGTGCGTGCGTGCGTGCGTGCGTGCGTGCGTGTGTGCGTGTGTGCGTGTGTGCGTGTGTGTGTGTGTGTATGTATGTATGTATGTATGTATGTATGTATGTATGTATGTATGTATGTATGTATGTATGTATGTATGTATGTATGTATGTATGTATGTATGTATGTGTGTATATATATATATAGACACACACGGCCACTCCTGGATCTCTGTGGTCCCCCCTTGGAGCCCTCTTGGGGCTCTCCGTAACGGCATTTGAGGGCCCCGAGAGGGCCTCAATAGGGCCCCAAGAAGGGCACTCGCGTGACTTCGGTTTGACTCCTCCTGGGCCCTCCTTGGAGCCTTATTGGGGCCCTGCGAGACGGCACTTGAGGTGGAGGAGGAGGAAGCAGTGAGGAGGAGCAGGGAGGAGGGGGTGGACGAGGAGGAGGAGGAAGGATGGCGAGTTGGACGAGGACGAGGAGGAGGAAGGATGGCGAGTTGGCGAGTTGGCCGCGTGCCTCTATTTCGACTGGGGGTTGACCCCCTTGGAGCCCTCGTGGGGGCCCTCTTAAAGCATTTTCGGGGCTCTCCAGCGTGGTCTCGGGGGGCCCCAACTGGCTCCAAGAGGAACCCAAGAGAAGTCCACGAGGGCCCCAGCGGTGTACATGACTCGAGGCTGTGGTTTCATTCACCCCTTGAACCCTTTCGGGCCCTCTTGGAACCGTCTAGGGGCCCTTCGAGATTCATGGAGGGTCCCGGAGGGCCCCCTGAGTACGCCAGGAGGGCCGAAGAAGGGGTCCGAGAGGGGCCCAAGAAGGCCTCAGCAGCGTGTATGATTCGAAACTTTGTGTTTACTTACCCCAGGCGCCCTCTTGGGGCCCTTCAAGGCCCTCCACACACACAAACGTACGCGCGCACGCGCGCGCACGCACGCGCGCACGCACGCACGCACGCACGCACGCACGCACGCACGCACGCACGCTCACACAGACACACACACACACACACACAACACACACACAACACAACACAACACAACACAACACAAACACGCGCACACACACACTAACACACACACACACACACGCGCGCACGTACGCCATACACTTCCGCGCGCACCCATACACATGCACACATCGTCACATGCATACAGGCCCATGCAGACGTTCACGTGCACGCATCCACGCCACCTTCGATTGAATGCCGTGGACTGTTTGAAGCTGGTCTTCTCAACTCTACTATGGTCGCCACTTCGTGCTTTAAAAATAGATCCTGTCGCTCAAAAATAGAGACTGAATAGATACTAGTTAGACACTAATAGACACGCAAATCTTGCAACACAGCCGATGCACAAACATATTTTTAGACACTGTCCGAAATAGATACTTTTAGATATTATGACCACCGGGCCTCAGCGGGAGCACGATAATTCTAAAAGCGTCTATTTCTAAAACATAGATACTAATAGATACTGTGTGCACGGCGCCTCAACGGGAAGCTCAGAATTTCTAAAAGTGTCTATTCTTGTTTCCGGCTGTCTACCAGGGACCAGAATCGGAACCTCCGAAGACCTCGGTAAGTACGACCTGCCCATTCGCGAACACACGTGTGCCCTGGAGGAAGACCACGACGACGTTGAGACGACAAGCTATACCCGACATTGACCGTCGTCCACAGGCCACTTGGAAGCGGGGCCGCGCTCGCTCGGGCAGCCTGCGCCGCGAAGGCTGGCGCAGGCCGCCCCTGCGAGGGGAAACAAACGGGGGCCGCGGCCGAGGCGGAGCGCGGAAAAACGCCGTGCCGTCACCTGGCGGCGCGCGCGAGGAGGCGGAGGGAGGGGGGAGGGCTTCTTAGAAGGAGGCTGCTCCTCAGAAGGCGCCGGCCCTGCATCTACAGGGAAGGCCCGCGCCTTCCAAGGAGCAGGGGTGCTTCCAAGAAGCCCTCCCCCCTCCCCCCAACCTCCCTCTGCGCGTGGCTGAGTCGCCGTAGATCTCTGCCGGCGTCATCTCGCCGAGCATCCTCGCGAACCAGCGACGGCCGACGTGGACCATGACCACGGTCGGCATCGGCAGGATCCCGCGACGTCTTGGGCGTGGTCCCCGTGTCAGCGACTCCGAAGGGTGTGGTTTGCAGAGGGTGTACTTTGCGGCCCGCGCCTGAAGGGGCGGGCGACCTCGATGGAGATCTCTGCCGCGCCCCGACGAGGGCTCATCGAACATTAGGTGGCGTGGCGCGGTGACCCTTAAGATCCACAACGGCGCCGATCGCAAACCACAGCCCAGCGCAACCACATCCTTTAATATAGTCGCCGACCGAAACAAAAACCCCTTCTCGAACGAGCACCTCGAACCTGCCCCCCCCCCTTCTTTCTGCCCGGAGCCCATGCTCGGCCACCTCAGACCCCCAGCCGGCTCCAAACCCTCGTGTGGCATCGTCTGGGGACCTTGTCTGTCCCGTCGAGCCCCTGTCCGCGTCGAATCCGTGTCGAATCCACGCCGCACTCGCCCAATCCCCGTCGAATCCACGTTGAACCCTCGTCGAATCCACGTCAAGCCCGCGTTGAGTCCGCATCGAACCCGCGTCGGGCACAAAACACCCACTTTCGGGACAGACGAGGCCCCCCGAAGCTGCGACGTGAGAGCCCCGTGCTCCTTCCCCCCCCCCCCGGCCGAAGCGCCGCTGCGCGAGGGCTCCAGACCATACGCCACCCCGAGCCCCGGCAAGGCCCATCGGAGGCGCCCTGGACTGGGCCAGGCGGTCTCTGCACCGGCCCGGGGGCCCCGGCATCATGCCTGGCCCCGGCCGGTGGTGAAGTGCACTCCCGGCTGGCGCCCCTCCAGCCGCGGCGCCGCTGCCGAGGGCCCCCCCCGGAGGGGCCCGCCGCCCAGGGCGCGCGGGCCTGCCACGCACGGCGTGCTCTCCTCCAGGCCGCCCCGCCCGCCAACGCTCGGGCGCCCATGCCCCGTGCACGTTCCGGCCCCAGACATGCGACGTCCTGATGTTGTTCAATATTTATCGGGATGAAGTCCCGATCCTCTCCGCTGGACCGGCTCTTCATCCCGAGTCGTCTTTTGACGGCCCCGGGACCCGGCGAAGGCCTCCAGAGCCCAACGGCGAAAAACCTTCGTCCCCACCCTCTTGCGACGCGATCGTGTCTGGGGCTTCGTGCGTGCACCTTCCCCCCAAACTGGCGCGAAAGGCTCCTGGGCGGCCCGCGCCGAGAAGAGAACGGCAAGGCCAAGCCCAGGGCCGCCCGAGGGCCAAGCCCAGGGCCGCCCGAGGGGCCGCCCAGGCACACGCCCGCGCGAGGCCAAGCCCAGGGCTGCCCGAGGGGCGCCGCCCGAGGCCGCCGCCAGAGGGGGGCCACCCGAGGGAAGCCGCCCACGACGACGAAGACGACGACGACGACGACGACGACGACGACGACGACGACGACGACGACGACGACGACGACAGCGACGGCGCAGGGCCGCCGTCGAGGCCGCCGCCGAGGCCGCCGCCCGAGGGCCCTCCGCAGGGGGGCGCCCGCCGCCGGGGGCCCTCCGCGCGCCGCCTGCGACACGACGTTCTGCACCGGCGCGGGCCGCGCGGCGCCCGCCTCGCGCTCCGGCGCCGCGGGCGCGGCGGCGGCACCGAGGAGGCCTGCGGCGCCACGCGTCGTCGTCGTCGTCGTCGTCGTCGTCGTCGTCGTCGTCGTCGTCGTCGTGCGCGCCCCCCTCCGGCGCCGCGGCCGCGGCGGCGGCGCCGAGGAGGCCTGCGGCGCCGAGGGCGCGGCGTCTCGTCTGGCGGGCGACGACCCCAGGCCCCCTCGCGCAGTATACAGAAACAACGGCAGAAGGTCTTTCGCTAAGTTCGGCCTCCGGGGGCCCGCAGCGGGCCCCGGGAGCGTCGAAGAACGACTCAGGATGAAAAACCGGCCCCGGGGAATGGGCCTGGACCTCTATGGGGTCGCGTCGCGGAAAAATCATGACGTCGGGGGTCTGGGATAGGGTTATGTTGTTCCCATCGTACTCCAGTCGGGGAGACGTAAGACTCGGGTACGGGAAACCCGAGTTGGGCTGAGCTGTCGGGGCCATCGTGCAAATGACGAGACCCAATCTGACATTTGACGCGAACTCCCGCTGCGAACATCCCACGAAAACTGGACGGTCCAAATCCAGGGCGCGCTCGTCAAAAAGCGTCGGCAAACCCGAGTCCCGGCGTACTCGAGTCTTACGCTTCCCCGATCGAAGACCGCACCCCAGACATGATCTCGAGCACCCGGAGAAAAGCATCGGAGCAGTGCCTGCCCGACGCGCTGGCGCCGTGTCGCCTCCGGGGGCCCGACGCGCGAAAACCCTCCAAGGGTTGGTGCCGTCCTGGCGCTCGACGTTCTCTTCTGGTGATCAGTCAACCCTGAGATCCGACGTAGCAAAACAAATGCAACACCGCAGAAATCAAGCCCGGAGACCCGGACCTCATCTTTCCGCGCCATTTTTCGAGCCCCATCGATCTGTGAGGGTCCCGGGGCCCGAAATCAAGCGAAAACGCCCGTTGCAAAAAAGTTGCAACGCCAGGATCTCAGGGAAGGCCAAGAGGAGGTCGGAACCCCGCAGCGATCGGGGCGAGTAGCCCAAGGTGGGAAGCAACACGCGCATTCGCCCGGGAGCCTCGCCGAGGGCACAGGCCATCGCCATCGCCGCCCCGGGATGCGGGCATCGACCTCCCCGGGGCCAGGCTCGCCCTCGTCGTCGCCCCCCGATCCTGGGCCGTTCGCCCCCGTCGTCGCCATCGCTCGGGCGTCAGCGTCGCCCCCCGATCGTGGGCCATCGCTCGGGCGTCAGCGTCGCCGTCGCTCGGGCGTCAGCGTCTCCCCTGGGCCAGGCTCGCCTTCAGCGTCGCCCCCCCGATCCTGGGCCACTCGCCCCCGTCGTGGCCATCGCTCGGGCGTCCCTCCCCCGTGCATGTTTCGACTCCGTGCGTACACTTGTTCCCCGAGATGACGCAGGATGCCCATCGATGGTCCCCGCCGAGAAAAGCCAGACCCCCGACGTCGTGATATTTCTTCACAGCGTCGACCCGTCAACCCCCAGACAGAGATCTGGACCCCTTCCCCGGGACCGGTTTTTCATCCTGAATCGTTTCCTGACGGTCCCGAGGCCCGGCAAGGGCCCCGGGCCCCGGAGGCCGAGAACAGCGAACAGCCCCCCGCCGTGATTTTTCTTCCACAGCGCGAGGGGTTCCGGGAACGCGCACGTCCGAGCGATGCGAAGCTCTCGTCGGCGTCTCGGCGGCGGCCGGCGACGCCCCGCGGCCCGCCTCCTGCGGTCCAGGGAAGCAGGCAACTTTTGCTCTCGGCGTGCCGCGGCGGCGGCCCTGGCGACACGCGTGCGTCGCTCCGGCGCCGCGGCCGCGGCGGCAACGCCGAGGACCCCTGCGGCGCCGAGCTCTCGCCGGCGTCTCGGCGGCGGCCAGCGACGCCCAGCGCGCCACCTCCTCATCCCAGACATGTTCGCGTCGTGCAAGATTCAGGACGACGTTTTTTCCCTGTTCTCGGGCTCTGGAAGCCCTCGCCGGGTCCCGGGACCGCTAAAAATCGACTCAGGGTGAAAAGCCGCTCGCGGGGAAAGGGTCGGGACTTCGGGGACGCCGTAGTGAAGAAATCAGGACGTCGCATATCTGGGTCCTCACGTATAGGGGCCCGACCACAAGAAACATTCCACAAGAAACCCAACCCTGAGACCCCAGGACGTCCATGGATTCTTGGTGTGGGAGCGTCACGCTTCCCATCGTACCATCGAACCCCAAGAGACCCAGGGCACCCTGGAGGCAAGCAGGGTGTCTCTTGGCATGGGCCTCCACTGTGCAGCCGAGCCTGCCTGGGGAGGACACGCGAGAGGGCACGAGACCCTTCCGAGGGCCACGCTGCCCTGGGAGAAGAGAGCACATGGGGGGGCGCGAGCACAGAGGGACACAGGGGCACCCTGGATCCTGGAAGGGTCGACCTGGTGATCCAGTCCCGACCGTGTGCGCGCGGGCTTCGATTCTCGACGTCGGCGCTGCGCGCAGAGGCAACGGCGCGGCACGCGATGGGCCTCGGGCCCCCTCTGGGCCCCCGCGCCTGGCCGAAGCCGGCACGTTCCCCCCAAACGCCAAGCACGACACCCCCGACATGGCAGAGATCGGCCGACGCTTCGGCCCGCGCCCACCTCCTCAGACCGTCACATGAACTCTAGCTCAGCGTGTCGCGACGGCGCCCTGGCGACACGCTATGCCCCGCGAGCGGATGGCGCGTCGCTCCTCTCCGCGAGGCGGGACGGGGCGGGAGCAGGGGTGAGGCTCGGGACGCTGAAGCTTGGGGACCTGGACGCGGTCAGCGCGTCGCGCCGAAGAGTGGTAGGCCAGGACCGACGGCGCGACGGGCTGAGGACACGTTCCCGACCGCATGTGCTGCAAGATCGAATCGAGGCATATCGGGGATCACTGAGTCAGGGTCGTTCTGTAAGAACGGTTTTTTGAAGGCAGATCTGCCTTCAAACAGGAGGAAAGACTGGTCTACTCTGTAAGAACAGTTTTTTGAAGGCAGATCTGCCTTCAAAAAATCGTTCTTACAGAGTAGACCAGTCTTTCCTCCTTGGAGATATACAGTCGAGGTTGATTGGAGAGGACACAATACCCTTCCGAAAGCCACATGGCCGTAGGACTGTAGAAGGCATGGGTCGCCAAACACAGGACGCAAGAGCACCCTGGATTTGGCAGGGTCGACCTACCGATCCGCCTCGATTGTATCGGGCGCCGCTGACGCGGCCTTCCTCCGCCCAACCTCCTCGACGCCGTGAAAGAGTCACGGCACGGCGGGCGGTTTTTGCCCCTGTTCGGCCTCTGGGGGCCCTCAGCAGACCCTGGGAAAGCCAAACAAAAACAACTGAGGATGAAAAGCTGCGTCGGCGGCGGCCGACGACGCCCAACGCCTCACCTCCGATGTAAGACTATGCCCAAATAGATCGGCCAGTGGGAGCCCTTACCAGGCAACGGAACCGTTGAACCACTTGGGACGAAAAAGGCCGTCCCATGAAAAGGGTCCAGACCTCTGGGGGTCCACGTTGTGAGATAAACACGACGTCGAAGTGTTGGCTCTGGCGACGCCATGGCACAAGTCGCGGGTTCCCAGATCTCCGACGACACGACTTTCAAAATCCAAGCGCTTCTCCTCGATTGCGGCCTCTGGGGCCCGTTGTCAGGTCCCCCGGACAACGCGGGGTTGACGAAAAAGGCTCGGGATACGACGTCGGCCCCAGGGAAGACTGTCCAGACCTCGTGGGGCCCCCGTGGAAAAGCCACGACGCCGGAGCTTCTGGGACCAACACCACGGCGTCGGCGGCGGCGGCGGCGGCGACGGCGGCGGCGACGGCTGCGACGGCGACGGTCGGGCGGCTCGCAGTCGTCGATCGTCGTCAATCGTCATCGCCGTCGCGGCCGTCGTCGCTGCGTCGCGGGCGCCATGACGTCGTTGTTGGGTCGTCGCCGTCGCCGTCGCCGCTTCGCCGCCTCCGTCGCCGCTGCGTCGTCGTCGTCGTTGCGCCGCCGCCGCGTCCACAGCCGTTTCTCCCTCCGCTGGTCGTCGGTGCGTCGTCGTCAGCCGTCGTCGTCGTCGGGCGCGGCGCCGCCTGCTGGGAGGGCGGGCCCCTTGCGCTCCTGGGGGGGGGAAGGGGGCGGCGCCGCCGCGGCGGTCTGTCGGGGGCGCGCAAACCTGGATTAGCGATCCATGCATCGGGGAAGGTGCCCTCCCCAAAGTGCGGCCGGTCCCGCCTCGATCGGCGGCGCAAATCCGCGATTTCCCATAGAAACGGGGCCCGTCGCTACTCCACGCCCCCTTATCCATCTTTGCGATAGCCTGAGCTTGCTCCGTCGCGGGGGAGGCGCCCTGCCTCCCTCCTCCTCCACCCGCTCGGGCTTGCCTGGCTGCCTCTCTGGAGCCGCAGCCTCGGTAATCAGTGCCCCGAGGCCTCCAGAGGAGGAGGAGGAGGAGGAGGAGGAGGAGGAGGAGGAGGAGGAGGAGGAGGAGGAGGAGGAGGAGGAGGAGGAGGAGGAGGAGGAGGAGGAGGAGGACTCTTCTCCGCCCCCGTGCACGTCGCGTGCGGTGGCCTCGAAGTGCGGCGACTCGCCGTGGGCCGCCCCCGCCCAGTCCGCTCCGATGCTTCCCCCCCCCGCGCCCCGTGGCCCCCCCCCCACAGTCGGGCGCAGTTTTGATGCGCACGAGACCTCGCTGGGCCTCGCTGGCTGGGGTGGTCTGGAGTGGTGGCCACTGTGCCCCCCTCTCCACTCTCCTCCTCCTCCTCTCTCCTCTCTCCTCCTCCTCCTCTCTCCTCCTCCTCCACCTCCTCCTCCTGCTCCTCCTCCTCCTCCTCCTCCGCCCCGTGGCCCCCCCAGAGTCGGGCGGCAATGGCGGTTTTGATGCGCACGAGGCCTCCGTGGGCCTCACTGGCCGGGGTGATGGCCACTGTGCCCAGGTGCGGAGCGCGGCAGCACGACGCACCCTCCCGCAGGGCAGCCCGAGCTGACGCAGGACCGCCCCTCTTCGCGACGACCGCCCAGGGGATGGGCACAGAAGGGAGTCTCAGGCGCCGCCGCCGTGCAGCTTGCTTACCCCTGGTTGGCCTCCGCCTCTGCCTCTGCCGGGCCCCCCCCGCGCCCCCGCTGCTCCCGCCTCCTCGTTGCCGCTGGGTCCGGTCAGGCCTCGCTGCGCCCAGGTGGAGTCTCGCAGGCACTTCGCATGGCTGGCCATCGCTCGGACGGTCATTCCCCGTGAATGTTTTGTTTCGCGCGGGTGTCTCTTCCCTAGATGACTCGAAAGGCTCCTCGATGGTCCTCGCCGAGAACAAATGCACACGTCCGAGTGATGCCAAGATGTGCCCCATGCTGAAGCGTCCAAACAGGTCGTGAGTTGCAGCACGTTCCGTGCGTCAGTGCCTCTGCGGTTGGCGAGGTGTCGCTGCTCGTCACGCCGCTCAAGAGTCAGCAGGTCGCCCGCCCCCCCTGGTGCGCCGCCTTTTTCGATGCTGGCGCTGCCCTCCCCGCACTCCTGCACCACAGGACTCGAGAGGAATGTCTCGTGCCCAGGTGCACTGCCATTCTGGGCAGGTGATGCCTTTGACGCCATCCACGCGCGCCGACGAGCCCCGACGCCATCGTGTCGTGCTCTCTGCGACGTGGGTCTCCCCCGCCTTCCCCGGTGATGTGCTGTGGCCTGCGCGCTCAGAGCAGCCCGCGCACCCTTCATTCCCCGTGCTCTCATGCGAACAGAATATTATTGGCGCGGGCTCTGGTCCGAGCTTCTTCGCGTTTCAGTTCCCACACCTGTACAGTACGGGGCCCCATTACAAGAAACCTTCCACACGAAACCCAACCCTGAGACCCTAGAACCTTCATTGATTATTGGTGTACGAGCGTCACGCTTCCCATAGCAAAGCCATCGAAACCCAAGAGAAACCCGGGGCACCCTGGAGGCAAGCAGGGTGTTTCTTGGCATGGGTCTCCACGGTATCACCAGCTAGGGGCTTCCCCAGGACCAGGCCCCGGCTCCGTGGGGCCTCTCCCTCCCTCGTCGCTCCCCCCAGTCTCTCGGGCAGCGGCCGCTCTGGCAACGAATAATCCGAGACTTGTTCGGAGCTCGCTGTGGGCACCCGTGCTGTTCAGGTCATGAGCGCCCGTTGGCCGCAATGCCACCTACTTATCCTACCACTCCTCCTCCTCCTCCTCCTCCTCCTCCTCCTCCTCCTCCTGCTCCTCCTTCTCCCCCTCCTCCACCTCCTCTTCCTCCTCCTCCTCCTCCTCCTCCTCCTCCTCTTCCTCCTCCTCCTCTTTTTGGCGGTAGGCAGACTTGAGGCAGCAGCCTGGAGCGTGCCATCACCTCCTCCTCCTCCTCCTCCTCCTCCTCCTCCTCCTCCCCCACGTCCTCCTCCTCCTCCTCCTCCTCCTCCTCCTCCTCCTCCTCCTCCTCCTCCTCCCCACCATGTCCTGCCTTCCTGGGGGCACTGACGGCTGTCCCTCCACCCCTCCAGCTTCACATATCGACCCGCTTCACCGATCCAGTACGCTCTGGCCAGAATGTCGAAAAGAATCATGCCGCGGCGACGCGGAGCCCCAAGGACTTCCCTAAAAAGACGAGTCTCCCAAACAGACATCTCGATCCCATGTCGTATGCTAGCCAGCATGGACGCCAAACAGTGGTTTCTAGCAAGCCAGGCGATGCAGTCTGCGTGGTGCAAGCTATGAGGTGCAAGCTATGTGGTGTAAGCTATGTGGTGCAAGCCACGTTGTGTGAGCAAGGTGGTGTCATCTACGTGGTGCAAGGTGGTGCGATCTACGGGGTATGCGCTCTGCAGTGCAATCTCTGCGGTGTAATCCGTGCGGTGCGATCTACGCAAAGTAAGAATGCAGAGCCATGCGCCGCGAGAAGGACCCAGCAACGCAAAGCAATGACAAGCAACAAACGGCACTGCAAAGCCATGCAGTGCGACTGCAGTGCGGTTGCAGTGGTATACGACTGCACCGCGATTGCAGCGCAATGCGACAGCAGTGCAACGCAATGCGACTGTAGTGCATTGCGATTGCAGCGCAGTGCGGCGACGCGGCGGCGGCGACGGGCGGCGACAGCACGTCGGCCGGGGCCTGACTTGGGCCTCTTGTGTGGCCTCATGTGACTTCTAAGAGGCTCCTTGGGGGCCTGCTGGCGGTCTCGCATGTCGTCTTGGGGCCGAGGGCTCGAAATGGCGGTTCATGGTCCCCCTCTGGGACCCCTTTCGGGCCCTTTTTGGACCGTCTTTGGGCCCTCTTTGGCCCACTGGGGGCCCCCTTGATCCTCTCTCGCCGTGCACCGAAACATATCAGAGCTGTGCAGCAGCTGCCCCGAGGAAGGCCGACTCCTTCTCAAAGCAGGGCTCTCGCTGGGGACGTCCTCAAATCGAATCACCAGGCTTTCCAAGCTGTGCACGGACTGCACGGATGGAGGGCGCTGCCTTTTCAAAACTAAGCTCTCGCTTGCGACTTCCTCTGCCTGCACCAGCCAGGTGCTCAAACTTAAGCAACACTTCCACGGATGGCGGCCGATGCCTCTTCAAAGTGGGGCTGTCGCTGGAGACGTCTTTCGACGGTACGACAAGAACTCTGGAATCGCGCAACTGCCACACGGATGGAGGGCAACCTTTTCAAGAGCGGAGCTGTCGCTGGACAGAATTCTGCGTGTTGCGTTGTTGCTGCTGTTGTTATTTGTTGTCGTCGTCCCACCCGCGACCCACCCGCGACCCACCCCGCGACCCACCCCGCGACCCACCCGCGACCCACCCCGCGACCCACCCACGACCCACCCGCGACCCACCCGCGACCCACCCCGCGACCCACCCGCGACCCACGACGTTAACTAAAACGGCCTTGGGCGTTGACTAAACAGCCCTGCCCTGTTCGATTAATTCCTTGCGCGCGTTGACTAAACGGCTTCGCTTGTCGGGGCGACCCTCCCGCGACCCAACAGCGGCCCACCCGCGACCCATTCGCGACCCACCCGCGACCTACCCACATTGGTTTATATAACGAAAAGATCGGCGCCTGCGGCGGGCTCTTTGTATAATTTGTGAAACGTTGGCGCCTGCGGCGGGCTTCTCCAGAGTCTCGCAAACTGCCGACGTCCCCACCGCCCCCTCAATCTTATCCGCATGCGCGGGGTGCTACGTATTTCAAGACCATGTGATCCTCCGCCAGCCAAGCTGAAGAGCACTGGCCATCGCTCGGACGTCCATTCCATGTATTTTTTTCGGTCTCGTGCGTGGCATTTTCGCCACATGATCAAGGATGCTCCTCGATGGTCCTCGCCGAAGGAAACATGCACACGTCCGAGCGATGCCAAAAGCGTTCGAGGGTGCCCTCCCCCAGGATGCACAAGAGCATCCGACAAACACACAGAACATCAGGGCACCCCCCTCGGTCCGACCGTACAACGGGGCTCCCGCCCGAGGCGCTGGGTGCTACCCGCGAGGGAGGAGCATGCATGCTGCACATGCCGGGGCCTGCGAGCAGAAGGACCTCGGGACGGGAGGGCGTGCTGCCAGAGCACCGTGGACACACGGGGGGCTCAGCCTGGATCCTCGATCCGCCTCCTGGCCCGTGAATCCTCGCCCTCGGCCCCGCCCGTTAGGCGTCGCTTCAGGGGGGGGCGGCGTCCACGGGGGGGGGGGGGGAAAGTGCACTTCTCGGGCCCGAAAGGCCCTCTTGGGGACCCTGAAAGGCCCCTCTAGGGCCTCTAGGGGCCCTACAGGCCTCCTTTTCCGCAGCCCTCTCTGCCCCCCCGCTTGTCGCCCCCCCATTACGCGACGCCCAGGCCCGATGGTCTCCAGAGGTCTCCGGAGTAGCCCGAAGTCCTCGGGAGATTCCCTGAGTGCGAGGCGGGACCTTATACATAACAACCGCCTGGGGGTATATTTCCCCTGGAGATGGTCACGGATAGATCCACGTTTCGGACGGAGGCCTCCAGAAGCCCCACAAACCTCCATCCTCGAGCCCGAGATGACCCCTGAGCGCTCAAAAACCTCGGCCCTCGATCCTCGCATAACCCGCAAGTCCTCCCAATTCGCGCCAGCGAAAGCCCCGCCCGCCCCTGGCCCAGCCAGGCCGCGAGGACCCCGAGGCGGCGACATCGACGGCAAAGGCGGCGGCGACGGCGACGGCGACGTGGGTGAACAGGACAGGGACGGCGGCCAACACGACGGCGACGGCGACAACGGCGAAGTCGGCGGCAGCGGCGGCGACTCCGACGGCGACACGACGGCGACGGCAACATCCGAACCCTACCCCCACCGACCATCGATTCGCCTAAATCGACGGGAGGCGGGGGTAGGGCTCGGATTTGGCCACACGCTCGACGAATTCCGAACCCGACCCCCGCCACCCATCGAGTTGCCCGAATCGTCGATCGGCGAGGATAGGGTTCGGATCTCCTCGCCAAACGACGGCGACGACGACGGCGACGTCGGCGAAGGCGCGACGACACAGACGCCCGGGCTGCTTCAATGTTTCCGATGCGCGGGCCCCTGAGGTCTGGACCACTTCCCCAGGGCCGCCTTTTCGACCCGAGTTGTCCCCTTGGACGGCCCCGAGGCCCCGCGAGGGCCCAACGAAGGCCGAACACCGCCCCAAACCGCGGCTGCGCGGCGGCGGTGCAATGCCTGTGGCCCGGCGGCCTGTGCTGTGTTGTGCCTGTTCGCGCGTCGCGGGCCCGATGGCCCGTGCTGTGCTGTGACCGCGCCTCCTCCGCCCGAGGTTGCCAGGCCGGGCATGCGAGGCCAGGGGGGGGGGAGCTTGGTCCAGACGCCTGGGATAATCGCAGTGCTAACCCGCAGCCAGGCACGCGAGGCTGCTCGGCGCACCGCCTCTTCGCGCGCCCGGGGACGCCGGAAGGATTCGCGGATTCCTGGGCCTGGCTGCTCCAATGTTTTGGGAGCGTCGGACCTCCCCAGACCCGCGACGTCATGATTTTTTCATGACGCGACCCCCAGAGGTCCAGACCCATTCCCTGGGAAAAGTTTTTCATCCCGTGCCGTTTTTTGACGGTCCCGAGGCCCGGTAAGGGCCCTCCGAGGCCGAAAATTGCGAAAAACCTCCCGTCGTGATTTTTTCATGACTGGAGCAAGTCTGGGTCTGGGGACGACCACGGCGACGGCGGCGATGGCGACGGCGAATGCGCCCGGCGACGCCCCTCCGGCGGCGGCGGCGGCGGCCGCGTCCTCGTCCTCGAACATCCGGCGGAGGGCCGGCCGCTCCGCAGGGCCCGCGCCCTGCAAAGAGGGCGAGGATGGGATGGGGACAGGGGGGGCCAGCCCAAGCTGTAGGGGAGGGAGAAAAAAAGGGAGGGAGGGAGGGAGGGAGGGAGGGAAGGGAGGAGGGAGGGTAGGGGGGAGGGAGGGAGGGAGGGAGGGAGGAGGGAGGGAGGGATGGGAGGAGCGAGGAGGAGGAGGAGGAGGAGGAGGAGGAGGAGGAGGAGGAGGAGGAGGAGGAGGAGGAGGAGGAAGGGAGCGGAGGAGGGTGACGAGGAGAGAGGAGCAGGGAGGGAGCAGGACGAGGGCGGCGAGGAAGCTGCCGAGGAGGCAAAGGTAGGCGAAGCATGAGGGC